TGCCGAGGGATCTGGCCGTAGCTTCGGCCGATCCTTCGGCTATCTTCACTTCTGATCGGTCATTCACTCGGCTGACCTCGGCAGCATAGTGAATAGACCCCATAGAGTACAAGCAGGAATTTTACTACAAGAATTAGGAAGCCACAGATAATACAGTAGTGTAAAATTGGGCAGCAACCGGACAGTGTTAATTGGGCACAAAAGGCCTAACTGATGTATGCCTAACGTTTATTTTATCTATGAAGCTAGGGGAGTGTGGTGAATGTGAGCGATATCATATGAGGTGGTTTAGGTTTTGAAAATCATGGTAGGCACTGTCAAATTAAAAAAAAGCACTGTTTTAGATTAGGGGCATGCATGTCATAATGCCAAATTACCCTGTTTCCCCCGAAAATAAGACCTATCCCGAAAATAAGACCTATCCCGAAAATAAGACCTACCCCGAAAATAAGACCTACCCCGAAAATAAGAACTTGTACTATTTTTTGGAATTGATAAGATATAAGACCTACCCCGAAAATAAGACCTAGTTGTTACCATTCCCAGGGCTGGTGGTGGCATAAGGGGGAACTTGAAGAGCCGCGGGAGAGAATCAGCGATGCCAACGGTAGGAGTCCAGGAGGGGAAGGGTAAAGTTAAAGGAGAACTGTCAGTCACCACTCCCTACAGGGATTCCCCCGCTCCGATCCTCCAGCACTGACTGCAGGAACGGACGGGGGATGGGGCGGGTACAGTTGGCTCTGCCTCTAGATAGGCAGAGTCAGCTGTCACTCACGCAGCTGGGTGGATCTCAACAGCATTTTCGGGATCCGTCCCGGCTGCGGCGTTCTCAGTACACCGCGAGCTGTAGCCCGCGATATACTGAGCTTTGGGTCATGGGAGGACGCTAGTATATGTCCTCCAGTGACCCTTAAGAGAACTCTGTGGAAAACACTTCTGTACAGTTGCACTTTGTAGTAATGTCGTAGTAATGTCACATGTGAATGAGCCCTCATTCTAAATGGAATGTATCCACTCTAAATCCATTCATCAGTGACGGCATGACCCATAGCTTTACTGCCACAGCCAATGAACCACCATAAAAGTATACATACATGTGAGTTTCAATTTTGCTGCCTGCTCATGTTTAAAACACATATATAATAGCTTACTCCAACCTCCTTTTTGAGGTTTTTATTTAAGTTATTCAACAAAATAACAGCCTACCCAGAACAATTTGAACATCTCATTTCTTTCAAATGATAAGTAAGTAAATTGAATGGCTCATAGTTGGGCAAGGTACATGCACACAGTAAATATGATTGCCTGCTGCTAGGAAGTGTATTTTATGATAATATATTACTCATTCTGTTTTTTCGTATGTGTTGTTGTGATTTATTTGTTGTGATGAATTCTGTTTTATTAATAATAATACTATTTAGAATTTTATTGTAGGTGTCAAGCTACAGAGTGTGTCATCATCACATCATCATCACTAGTGGCTATTACTAGCAGTGGTCAGCATGCTAATGCATCCTGCCTAGTAAAACAAATAAACAGACAGGGCCTAGAGAAATGACATAAAACACTACTCACATAATTATATCCAGACTGAGGAATGATACAAGGCAGGTCCCAAAAGAGCCTGCCTAGCAACTGATGCGTTTCGGGGGATATTCCCCCTTCCCCAGAGCTAACAAGTTGTGAAACAACATACAAATAAATAGAGTGGGTGAATATATGTGACCACAACCAAATACCATCCAATCCGCTGCAGCTGATCACCCTCACCTCATCAGTAGGAAATGTTTGTTTTGCGTGTCTTGTGAGGAAACTTCCCAGTGGCCTTTGATGACGGCAGCCTTCCTATGATTGATGTTGGAGAACTTTTAATTGGGAGTCAACTGAGCGCTGTGGTGTTCAGTTTTTCGCATCCGGCCTAGTGAATGACTGCAACAGCCCATGAAACTTCCCACAGAGCCAGCTCACTGAATATCTGCTGGCAGAACACACTTGTTCAGTTGTAGTCAGGCAAAAAGATATGAAAGGTGAGCGGTTGACTCCTCTCACTGGCTCCCATTGGTAAGGGGTCTTGAGAAGACCCTATGATAGCAAGGTTGTAGTTCAACATTAGGTATTGCATTTACGGCCCCTTGCAGTTCTGTGTACCTCCATGCTATTTGACTAAAGTCAGAAGTCCACATATATGCCTACTTATTCTTGGAGCTTTCTGTCTGCTTAAATAAATTCCTGGCATCTCACACTATACACCGACAGCATACTTTAAAAAAAAAAAAAGTTGCACCTTTTATCATTTAGAAAGAAGTTTATGAGCTTAAGTGAAAATGCGTATACTGTAAATAAATTCCATTTTTATTATGTCAATTTGCAGGGTTTACCAGTAATGATCTATATAATGCATTATAGTGCTATAGTATGCATCAGTTGAAGGGGCTGATGTATAAAACTTAAATGGGCAGACGCTGTTTGCACAGCATTATGGTCACTAGTTGGTGCTGAGGAGCATAGGAAATACCATAAAGACCTGTTCTAGTAGTGTAATGCTTCATACACTGGAAAACAGTAGGGGGACTGTAGGCACACAGAAATAATGTATGTTTTAAGATACCCCAATAAATGTAGGCACAGTACTATAGAAAAAGTGGGCAGACAAAAGAAAACTTATGTCTGTTAAACTGGATTTTAACACAACTACTTTTTATATCTTTACAGTAAATATCTCTACCAATGAATTTTATTTCTTAATGTTTCTCTTAGTCAAAATATTCTCTTAATAGTTTGGCATAGGTTTTAAATACAAGAAATGTCTACATTGTACATTTTCTGGGAACATTCACTTTAAAGTAACCTTTTTTGATGGCAAGTGGATGAAATAGGAAATTTTGACTTGGAAAATTTGGAGCACTAACATGACCCCCCCTCACATTAAGGCACTATGCAATGCATATGCTTTGGTGACACAAAAGAGGCACATTGATGCTGAGAATTTACAGTATATATGAAGTGTATCTAAATTTAAGGGTTCCTAGAGTACTAAAAATCAAGTTTTTTAAGTTAAAAACAAAGTTTATACAGGTAAACAACTCTTCACATTGTATATTTGTTGATATACATGTAGTTTGTGTTCTGTTCACCTTTAATACAGTTGTCCAGTTTTGGATTATTGAAACCGATAACGTGATTTCTGTTGAAAAGGGTGTGCTGCTATTGCTACCTGTAACTCATGATAATTTATCAATCTTAACTTGCCTCCTCCTAATCCTAAATCTAATGAAGAAAAGTGTCAAAACCAGGTCACTCTGTTATTCATACACAAGGACTAGTACTTTTTGAGTGCTTTCCAATAAAGTTTTATCTGTATATGAGCAGGGGACCAGGTGCAGATGTGTACCTGTGTGGTGAGGTGATAGGCAAGCCATACAGTAAAGTTTGCCAAGAAGCTCATTTCAGGTAAGTGCATGTATCCAACATCCTTTACTGTTTAGGATATGTTAGTTGAAACACCTAACTAGGCGAAGTAAAGAAAAAAACATAAAGCTGGAATGAAATGAAGAGTAATTTATTGCAAACAATACAAAACACAACCAAAATGCGTTGCTATAGCCCTATAAATAAATAATTTTTTTTCATTGTAAACTGGTGATTAAAAGACAACTACACTTGGCATTGAATCAACTGTTTAGAGGGGAGAGTTTGAAGTGTAAATATATTTTACATCAGTTTCTTCATTGCTGTGATTTAAAAGTCCTTTCATCTTCCAGTCCACCTCCCTCTACTTCGTTTCTACTAAATACTAGACACCTAGAGGTATAAAAGAAATATCTGAAACCCGCAGAGAAAATCTGGAGGAAGATGGAACCCAGAAGAGCTTGAGACTTGCCATATCACAAGAATGCGATTGGGGAATTTAGCAATTTGGCCAATAAACAATAATACCAGTTTTGACCTGCAGCACAGCTAATAATGATGAAAGTAATGTCATGTGATGTACCTGCCAAAATTATTTAGGGAAGTAAGAACAGCAAACGTCTCTATGCTGTTATAAACAAGGAGTGTCAAGTAGATGATCTCTTTATACTAAAAAAAATTAAGCCTAGTAGAGTATTATTGAGAAACAACACTTTCCAATTCATCTTTTAATCTAGTTCATAAACAAGGTATAACCCACAAGCTATTGGGACAGGAAGCAATGTTGAGGAGTTGAAGTTTAAGTTTACAACACTTTGTCCTAGTACACATTAGCTTGGCCTTATTAGTGTGTGTGTGTGTGTGTGTGTGTGTGGTGGGCAAACTGCAAATGAAGACTTAATCTCACCAGTAATTTGTTTTCCTCAAATTCACCATGACAACCCTATAGTATTCCCTCTCTAAAATAATTATGATTCTCTAGCAAATACTGAGGAGGTGAGGTAGGGCTATTAAACTCTCTACTCTCTACCTCCCATCCTAATAAGCAAATGAGGGAAATTATTTGGTTATGGATTGTTGTGATGAATTCTTGGAAAGCTGATTCTCAGTTAATTCTTCATTTAGGTAACCTTTAGGGTACCATGAGATAAAACTTTTCTTGTCAGCAATTTTGTAAAGAATCAATACTTAATTCCAGTGTGAAACTCAACAGAAAATCTTATCAGGCAAGAGAATCATCATCTTCTGACAAGATTAGAGTATTTTTCTACATGTTTCCAAATATCCAAAATTGATGAAGCAGGTATTACACACTAAGGAGTTGACATGCTGCAAATCTCAGCTTAAGAAATTAAAGCTAAAGGTGGCTATAAAAACTGTCATGTGACCCTTACCTTAGACACAAACGTTTCTACCTGCTCAATCAAGTACAGTTAAATAAAACAAGGATACATTTTTTGCAGTAAACTATATGTTTTCTTATCAATTATGAATTATTGTATTTTTTTGAAAATGTATTTGTAACATGTACTTAAGAGGTATTTTCCTTTTTAAAACGCACTTTATAATGCAGTTAATTAGAACATGTTTTTAACTAAATGCATTCAATGATTAAATGTTGTGTTTTAGTAATCTTGAGATATAGGAAATAAAATATGTAGTGCACAGGACAGTAAGAGTGAAACAATGTAGCTAAAATTTAGAATTTGATTCTCAGACCATGCCCATTAAAGGTTTATTAAAAAGAATCTTTAATTTAAATTGCATGTGATCTTCTTTTGCATTTTAAACCACAATGGTCAGAGCAAAGGATCCTGGGTCTTGACCGTCTGTCTCACATCAGTTTCTTTCATCAAATCAGATACTCTGTGTGCTGAATCCTTGGAATGGAACCATGTATTCTTTAACACTGCTAAAGAAATAAATAAAAGAGAACAGAGTTGTAATAATTGCATCTAGAAGTTAATCTGTATTATCTGTTGGAAAACTGATACTCTAATTAGGTCAATTAGGTCATGTGTCTTTTTATAAAAATTGGTTTGCTAATATTAAAGTAACACTAAACGCAGAAGATAAATCTTAAAAATGCATTCAAGTACCTTAACTGTTAAGAAAAATGTAGCTTATTTGTGTATCGCTCTGCTGTAGATCCGTAAATCATCCCTGAATTCATGCTGACACTGTCTTTCCTTTCGGAGGGTGGCTACTTTCTTCCCATGGTCCCTGTGTGTGTTGTAAAGTAGTCACCACTCCAAGCTTGCTTCCATGATTCACTACAATCTCATAGAGTTAGCCAATTTGTATTGAGATTGTGGTCCATTATGGGAGTGAGCGGTGGCTACTTTACAACACACACATGGACCATGGGGAACAAAAGTAGCCAACCTCCAAAAGGAAGGACAGTGTCAGCACGAATTCAGAGATGATTTGAGATTCTAGTGATACACAAAAAGGTACAGTATTGTTAATAGGCAACCTCCTGTCACTAGGAGGTTGAGGAGCATGTACACTTTGCAAAGTGAATATTCATTGAGCGTAATGAATGAGGTAAAGCTAAGTAAAAATTCACTTCACAAAGAATACCCAATCATGTGCAAGAAATATTAAAAAACAAGATTTTTGCTCCCATATGATTGGGTGATTGAAGTTAGCAAAACTTCCCCTCATTCACTAAGCAAAGTACATTTTCATTTTAAAAAGTGAATTTTCACTTAGCTTAATGAATGTGGTTAATACAGTAAAATTGTGCAGACTTCAGTCAGCCAATTATGTTTTCCTTGCACGTGATTGGGTAGTCTTTGCAAAGTAAATTTTTTACTTAGCTTCACCTCATTAACTAAGCTAAGTGAAAATTCACTTTGAAATGTGAACATGCTCTACTTCTTAGTACACCAACCCTATTGAGCTGGGGTATCTGTGTACATTGCATGTACTGTTTCTTTAGATAGCACTCTGTAATAGGGAATATGGTTACCTGCTGCACCGCCTCAGGTCTATACACATAATGTCAAAGCTGCAGCAAACCTAAACTCTTGCCAATATGTTACAAAATATTTCTTTTAAAAGGTATAGTGAGCACTGCAATGCTTGGGTTTCTTCCACAGTGCTTGAAATTCTTCTGTTATAGGATCAGTTTAGTACTGGTCTTGTAGTCTGCCAAAAGGAGGATCAGAGTTTAGGCAGAGACACAGATTGGTCAGCTCTACCTAAAACGTCACCCTTTGGATGAGGATTATTGGCTAATTGCAAGCTTGTTCTTTTTTTTTAAATAGATAAATATTTCAGTGCCTTTCTGTATCTTTTTGTTTTAACAATTATTAGGGGTAAAAGTCTGCTTTAATTGACAAAATACAAACAAAAATAATAAGCATGAACGAACCCTAATGAAGCACTAATGCTTTAAAAATAAAGAAGTATTAACTTCTCTTGATGGGCCAGTACCAAAGTCACAAAGGTGTAAACATTTTGAAAGGCAGAGAAATTGGAAATTGGTAGAATTGGAAGTGTTACCATAACTGACTCTTGTGAGTCCATACAGAGATATTTGTTGAGACATATGTTACACTAATTCCCAATGATGCATGGGTTTCTGTTTTTTGTAAACTGCAATAATAAAACATTTTATACCTACAGGGTTATTCAGGAAAGGGTGAAGAGTTCGGAGAAGGCAGGAGAAGTGAACAATTTAGGACAACATAGCTGAACTGGAAATCAGCTATTTTGGCCTAAATTGTTCACTTCTCCTGCCTTCTCCGAACTCTTCACCCTTTTGTGAAAAACCCTGCTAATATTCTTCTACAGAGAGCTAATTATGTATGGAGATTTCAAAGGTCAAGTTCTTCCAATATAACTGGTGGAACTTACTGGCTTTTTATTATTCTTGGGGCTCCTAAATGGGTAATGGTTTTCCATAGATTCCCTTCTGCATTTACCTCCGTCTGCTCTTAAATAATGTAATTTATTTGCCTACAATACTTCAAATTTAAATAATCATGAAAACTATTACAAATCTAAATTTTTTTATTTACAGAATTATAGGCAATATCTTGTTGCCATTTTATAATATTATGTATGCTGACATGTGTAAATACATAAAATAAATTATTAAAAAAAAATTTCAAGCATGCATAATGTCAAAAATATGAATTACCCTATAAGTATATCATAACTTGGTTAATTGTAATAAATATTTATGTACTCACAATAATTTTATGGCATATGTATAATAAAGTAAATAGTGGATAACACATCCTATTATAATAGAAAGGCATCATGGCACACTCACAAACCAGCATGTAAAACAACTTGTCTCACCACTAAGGACAATGACAGAGGTTTGGATACACGTCTTCTGCAAAGGATGTGTAAGCCGCACTGCCGCGCCAAGGCACCTCTTATAGTAAGCGGCAGTGCAGCTTACACATCCTTTGCAGAAGACGTGTATCCAAACCTCTGTCATTGTCCTTAGTGGTGAGACAAGTTGTTTTACATGCTGGTTTGTGAGTGTGCCATGATGCCTTTCTACTGTACCACTGTTCAAAGCCCATTTCGTGTGCACCTTACTGTATAACTGGTAACAAATTGTTGAGTGCGTTTGTCGTTTGTTTTACATCCTATTATAACACACACTTTTGCAATCTTTACTGTGGACACACATCTTGTTACCTTTCGCCATAACAGATTTAATGGGGTTGATCTACTGAAGGAGTAGCAACTGTTCACCTAGAAAAGTGAATATCCACCTAGTTTAGTGAATAAGTAAAATATTTGTTCACTGTAATCATCCAAGCAGAAATCCTGTTTATTTTTTTTTTTATATTTTCCTTTATATTTTCCAAAGATTTGGTATTTATAGTGAACAGTTTTACCTTATTCACTAAGGGAACATTCACTTTGCTAAAGGTACAGTCTTCACCCCTTTAGTAAATCAACCTTTCTGAAAGAGAAGAAGAAGGCCCCATAAGCTATTGCAGTGTGCTGAGAGAAATGAGTAACATGCAGGTTCATGTTACATGAATCTTGTTCATTTTGTGTTAAAATCTCAATACATTCACATCAGGGAAGTGCACACTAGAGAGAACATCTGTTTCTGCCAGGGATCCTAATAACTATTGGCATTATACTGACAGCCATTGCCAGATAAGGTCACAAGTTCAGATTGTGCATTCAGCCTTTGATGGGTTTGTGGAAAGGTTACATAGGGCAGCATGAATTTATATGCTGGCCCACTGGTCTTTGTTTTATTCTCTTTGTACATTTCTTGAGTGTTTCTAGGAATAATGGAACATAAGGTAGTTCACTTTTAGCACATGTAGCATACACTTTTCTATGATATTTGCAATTTGTAGAACTGTGAAACACAAAGATTTGTAGTTACAGTGATGGAACAGTAAATGTGGCCATAAGGGTAAAACGGAAATCTCTGAAATTGAATGCTACCCTTCCTTAAAGATGTCGCTAAAGATGTAATTAAAGCATTTCGAAATTCTTTAATAACACACAATCATCATATCTTCAGTATGTTCCTCACTTACATATTTTATTTGGACAATATACATACATAGACAGTTAATCACACAATTTGATATATAAGAAGAGTAGAGCAATGTGCAGGTGTCGATGCCTGCCCGCTACACAACAGGATCTCAGAGCAGCAGTCCTGTTGTTTGCATGTGTAATTGGTTGTTTTGCATCTCAGTGACCTGTTGAGAAATTTGTACTGCATTCTGCAAAACTAATAATGTCCCAAAGTAGGAGAAGCTCGATAGGCCATTTAAAAAGCCAAATACACCTTCCAGAACTGTACTAGCTCTCCAAACTCTATAATAAATATATTGTTGCTATTGAAACCTGAAGCATGCTAAATGTTTTCGTCGCAATCTTATAGAAGAGCCAACATTTTGTGCTGGTCTTTTTTCCAGGGATGAGGGTATTTATTTACATCTGTACAAATAAATTACCGACAGCTGAAACTTTTTTTTAACAGAAATATCTCCATGACAACATTACACTGTTCTTAATGGCTGGCTATTGCATATTTATTTGGGACTCATGCAGTGAATTCGGGGAATACCTCTGTATGCTATAAGCGGGTTTATGCGAGTACCAGCGTATACCTGGGTACAACTGTGCACCACTATTCATGTCTAGGAGTGGCTGTATGCACCAGTTGTGTATCCCAATAGAAAAATGTCACCAGCACACCATAAGTTGAAAAAGCAAAATATTTGATTGCCAATAGCTGTATCTCATTGGCAAGCGCTTTCGGGGCCTCGCAGGGTCCCCTTCATCAGGCTTAGAGAGTTCAGGCAGTGAGAAAGCCTGATGAAGGGGACCCTGCGAGGCCCCGAAAGTGCTTGCCAATGAGATACAGCTATTGGCAATAAAATATTTTGCTTTTTCAACTTATGGTGTGCTGGTGACATTTTTCTATTGTTCATGTGTGGCGGTGCCATCCGCAGGCATTTCGAGCACCCATCTTCATCAAGTGGGAATGCTGGTGAGGAGTGCGGTATGGTTCCTGTTTCTGTTTCTGTTTATTCAAGTTGTGTATCCCAGACATGGAAAAAAGTCTGAATTTACATTGTATGTCCTTAAATGTGCTCATGTGCTTTTCAACTGTAAAAATAAAGCTCTACGAGTAATAAATTAATATTATTACTAGTAGTAGTAGTAGTAGTAGTAGTAGTAGTAGTAGTAGTAGTAGTATAATTATGTATCAGTATAATTGTGTATTATTGATTTTACCATTTATGTGATTGCATTGATGTTCAAGCAGGCTGGCATATACTGTGGAATTTTATACTACATATATAGAACTGTCCAGCAGTTGTAAAGCCAGTAACATGTAAACATTCAAGCCTGCCTCAAACTAACTTGCAATTAGAACTTTAAAAAAAATATTTTCATGTA